TTCCTATTTTCATGCAGAAATGTATACTAAAAGCCAAATCTACGTGCTTTGCAGGAGCCCGTTCCCTTATGATTATTCACCTCATAACTTACATTTCTCCTTTTGACTACAATATTGTTTTAGCCTGTTTATCTCTGACAATGTCTAAAACCCCTGTCAACTTGCTTCCTTAAACTTGAACGTAATCCTCATGAAGCCCTCGGGTATTTCCTCCCGCCGACTGCCAGTGCAATCACTCTGACCTTTCGTTCGTTACCCTCGAAAATGGACACGACATGTAAATGAGAAATATGACTCTGACAGGAGTATGAATAAATGACATCCTATGAATTCGCTGATTAGAAATGGACGGAGTTTGGCTTATTAATATTTATGCTGTCTAATGATAAACGGAAGTCTCTATGAGATGCTTCGTTTATTGGAAGCTCAGAAATTTTCCATTACGAATTTTTACCAATATCGATTTTCCATTATGTCCACAAAAACTATTAATTTTAAAGTAAAAAACAACTAGAAGGCACGTGCGAAAAACTCTAGTGACTGACACCCGTCTTGCAATTTCTGCATTGCCGATTTTCCTTAGTCGAAGAGAATACCGCATTTATTAATCTCCAAGCTTCTTTATCTTACAAGATTTCAATTACCGTTGCTCCAACGAATCACTTTTCGGCACAAAGATTACGCTAGAGGACAAAGGCATGAAAAAATGGGTAAAAATTAGGTTAAAGAGGTTAAATGGACACAAATAAAAACAAAAACAAACAAGAAACGTGTCTCATAATACAGCAGTCAACATTGTTATTGCTATATCGCGCCAATCTTAATTAATTAAAAGAAATTCAGGAAATAGATATCTGTTATGCACAACATAACTTTTTGTATTCAATTTGAAACTGTCCTTATTGTAACCTCTTTTATTCAATATTATTATTCCATTCACCTATCTCAATGTCTAGTTCAGATTTTTACATCAAACATAAAAATCTGATATAACATTTTGCACTACGGTTGGCGCTTTGCACTGCATTTCCCTATGAAAATCGACAGTGTAAACCCCTTTAAAGAAGACAGCCTGTTTTTGTTAAAAGTAAACTACCTCTTCGACACTTTTTGCTATCCATTAGTGTGTTTAGATGTAAACCACAATAGTGATCCTCCGTTCCATGCTATTTACACCTGTAACTATGTGCACGATGGATGGGATATTTTGAGAGTCGCATGCATGTATCATGGGATAAGAACATGGTGACCAGACGTTCCGTATTTTACGGGATTGTCCCGTATTTTGCCCTAATGTCCCGCGTCTCGTACCGACCTTTCGCGGGACACGTTTGTCCCGTATTTGTAAAATTTCAACAAGTTACATGAAAATACAAAGAAATTACTAACGCGTAATGTTCTCAAGCTGCTCAAGGCTGAGCCTCCCGCCGATAATATAGCTAGCAAGCTCGCTGCATAATGCGCACTCTGGCATAGTCTGGATACCAGACCCGCTGATTCCGACTATTCTTGTGGAATCTTATCATGATAATCACGAGTGATAATGACCGACCATGGTCGTTACTCTTCAGGGAATAGGGGTCAGACTACGCATCCTTACAAGCTGCGTAATTTATCGTTCTATTGGAGTTTCTGAAATAATCAGAAATCAGAGTTTAATGATGGCTTCAAGTTAAAAAGTCACAGATTCTAATAAAAAGGTGAGACGTGAAAGTAAGATCAGGCCAGAGTGGCAGTCAGAAAAAGAATCAAAATGTATATACATGTATATCCTCTTTGGCAGTGCAATGAAATGATAAACACTTTTGAAGTGCTAAATAAGTAAATTGCATGATTGCATGTTCGAGAAAGGTTCTTCACTTGAGACAAACCCCTCCCACACCCACCCTATCGGGCGCTCCGCACCCTTGCAACGTGTGCTGTCTTGTATTTCGATTTCCAAAATCTGGTCACCCTGGATGAAAATGACAAGTAACCCTGGATAAGAATGACATCATGTGAAGATGAGCTTGGAAATAGAGGGATTGCACTTCACGGCTGTTAAATGGATTCATGTCATATGAAAGGAATGATGAACTGAATGTACAGACTGACAAATTTTACTTTTCAAGTCAGAAGAAGAATTACCATTTGCAACCTTTAATACCTCACAAACTTTGGGCTTTCTCCAACCATTTTCACAATGCAATACCAAACTGCATTAAATTTGGTTTGATTTGGTTTGCTGTACTCATAGCTCCCTGACTAGTGTCTTTTGTCGAGTTAGCTGACTGCTATCGTATGTTGCAGTTGATGGTGGATCGAGTTAATCGATCGACCAAATTTGATTTACTCTTTAATTATTCAAGAGTATGTGTGCGTACGTAGGAGTATGGTGGATCGAGTCAATCGATAGACCAGGTTTGATTTACTCTTTAATTTTCAAGAGTTTGTGTGCGTAAAATTATTCTGGAAACCCAGAAAATTATGGGAAATCTGGCATCTACTTGCCAATCGAAGGTAATTTCGTAAAAACGTAAGTTCTAACTCTGGAATTTCTAAAGCCCAACCCCACTTAAAGATTGTACTAAATTTCGAAAATGTGTTGAATTTCCACAAGCACAAAAAGTCTTTAAGTTACCCTGTACCCCATTTTTAAATATTTCTGGGTGGGGTAGTGTTGCTCCAATTTGATTTCCAATTCAACTAGTTGATTTGACAGTATGAGGTGGCTTGAAGGCTGAACAGAACTGCCTTTTTTTCAAAACGAGTACTTCTCAACCGTTCAATCAACTAAATAACGCCGATTCTACCCACGTTAACTCCTCACGGACAAAACGGTATTTTTACTGGGCCACCCTTTAAGTGTTTTGTAGGCTAAGTTGTGCTGGTATTGCCCCAGTTTCCTTTTTTTCTATTTGGACCCTGCTGAAAAGCTTTTGTCCCCAAGGCCAGCAAATCGTGTATTAATCATCCAGCAGCTGCTCCGTACAGTTGACGCTTGTTGGTATAAATTCCATGGGACAGAAAAATCAAATTACTAAGGTACGGCCCCATTTGACATCCCTGCCTAGGTGTGTTGGTTTTATATGCCCAAACTAAGCCAAAAACTGTGCTATGAAACCGATTGTAGTTATTACAGGGATTACGTTATAAGTTGTTCGAATTTTGTACAGCAGTCTAATTTTTGATCGAATAAAGAATAATTTTCAGACAGACAAATCAATCTATGTTTTAAAGAAACAAACGTTTGGTACATTGGCAATGGAATGGAATGCGGCAGTGTTTACTGAGTTCCGTCACATTTAATTTGCGAATCGTCCAAAATGCGATATGGGGCGGGATCTTTCAATACTATCGAATTAAAATATAGCAATATTGTGTAATGTGTTGAGGAGGTTGGACAGATTTCTGGAGGAATTTTCTGCAGATGGCTCAGTGTAACCGACCACCAGACATATTTCTCCTAGAGGAGAGTACAACGCAATTTATATTATTAAGATCATGCATGTTCTCTTCCTTACGGCCTCTGATATTAAACACTTAAGATCCTCAAGGTTTCGGCCAAATCAATTCTGGATTTTTCGACAGTTTATATCGTCAAAAAGTGTTCGGTAAAGTGTAACTATTAGATCCCCAATTATAGCTGTATTGTAGTTATAAAATGCAGTTGTGACTCATAATTATAGATAAATAATTGACCACAACGTCAAATTAGTATGCACCTATCTTGAACTCTGGATTGATGTTTTTGTTAGTAGTATCAACTTTATTGTTATAACGTTTTAGCAAGAAGTGACGGCACGTTTTCCCAGAAAAAACAATGGAGAGCAAAGAACCCCCCCGAAACAATATTAGTGTTCTAGGTAGCCCGATCTCTACAATATTCGGACAGGATTCAACCCAAAGATATTCTTGGTAGTAATCTTCAGGCTTTTCTACATTCTCAATTCTCCATGGTAACCACCTTGATTCTTCGTTGAAATTTGTTAATTTGCAATTCAAACACTGTAAAATAATTCCGCGTAAGAACCATCGAGGCGACAGGGAGCACCTCTCTCCCTTCAATAACTTCTTGTTGACAGATTTCGACATCCATATTTCAACAAAGTCGGTTGCCCATGATAGGCACGAGCACTTCTCGTGCCTATCATTGACTTTTTCTGGCCCACCCTTTCTCTTTTTTTCTCATTTCAAAATGTAAAATTCAATGTGAAGTGTGGCTAACCAGACCATTTTTCAACGAGAACATAATATCAAATTAGTGCTCTGAAATATGTGATTGCCGAGCTTATGGTAACTGAGTACCTTCTTCAGGGCAAGCAGAAGGTACTCAGTTACCGAAAGCTCGGCAAGCACATATTTCAGAGCACTGATTTGATATTATATTCTCGTCGATATTCTGATCACGGTGCTAAGTAGCCCTTCCATATTTCTCAGACCATTTTTCAGTTTAGTTGAGCTCAAGCAGTCGACCGAGCTCCGGAACGATGAGTTGTTCAGGGGGTTTTGCTCATGAGTGTCTCTATGTCTCGTTTTGTAGGCCGTAGTTCATTTTGACCAGGCAGTTCTGTTCTCTACCCATTTCTGATTCTGACGAAGGAGGTGTTTTAACTTCAACCCGAGCTATTCGTGAATTAATAATAATAAATTAAATCACTTTAGTATTATGTTTCTAAAGAAATCCCAGATCGACTATCGTGGGTTTGTTGCTGGATTTCCTCTAACCAAAAACTATGCAATGAACATGAAAATTTGTGAGTTAGGTTCCAGGAGGAACATTTGTGCCTTATTAATTTCTGTGTCTGTCCGACTATCGTTGCTGCGTTAATAGAACGTGATCTTTGAATGAGGGTATTTAGACAACTAAATTCTGGGGGAAAAAGAACATGCCACGTAGTTAGTAAGTACAAAGTGAAGTAGTCATTTAGTACAAGGAAGAATTGTTCGATGCAAATAATCGACCTTGAGAGAAATTAGGGTGACTTTACAAAGGATCCTTTATACACGATTGTACTTACATACTGCATGAATGCCACGGTTTTGCAAATGAAGTCTCCATAAATCCAGTCCGTGAGAATGAACTGCGAGGCCGTGATTGGGGCACAGATGACAATGAAGACCATATCAGTGATAGCGTTATTCATAATGAAGAAATTAGTGACAGTCCTCATTGATCGATTCCGGGCGATAACAACCACGACAGACACATTACCCAGAAGCCCCACGATCGTAATAATCCCAAACACAATGGGCACCAAGACGGCGTGGACCCTCAGCTCTGGTTCAGCCCCGAGTGTGCTGGAGTTGTAGTCGTAATAGGATGAGAAGTAAGAATACGAATAGGAGGTATAATCTTCTTCCTCCATGTTGCTCCACCTGGAATTCAACACTTTCTGGGAGCAAGTTGAAAAGCAAACCTGAGAAAAATGTCAAAAATGATGCACCTTGTTAGCAAGGCGGCTAGAACGACAAGCGACTTATACAGACTCAAAGTTTGAGTATTTCATGACAAGTGCTAGTAAGAATAAGCGCCAGCACCGCTTCCTGTATGCACTGAGCTTCAGGGATGTAGTTTTCAAGCTGTTGCTCCTTCTGCATTGAGGATCAGAATGGAAGGAAATTCCTCACATCAACGGAGAGTGTAGAATTGCTCAGGAGTGACCGCAGCGATTTTGAGATGACAGAGTCCGTTTCTTTGATGCTCCGATAGGCTTATGCGGGATCGTGTTTGTATTGTAGAGCAGGTTTAACGGCCGGCTGGTAACCTAACAATGCATTCTCGCAGACTCATTCGGTACGGTGGGACACACGGCACTAATTGGGCACGCGAGTAAAACGTCAAGACAACTACTCATGCAGCAGTTGCTTGTTTGTCAGCAGATGGCAGCGGAGAGGACACATCACAAGTCAAATATTTCAAGCACTTGCGCACGACATCTTGTTCCATTGCAAGGGACTGTACGAGCTGAGCCTCACATTGGGAACAATGGCTTTGCTGGCATGTTGTAGAGGTTAGAGCACCAGTGAGGATCAGTAGTTTGTGCCTCACATGCACAAATTATGCTGTACAAAGCCTAATCTTAAATGTCTCCTGGTTCGCCGATAGTGCTCAAGTCACGTATCTGTTTGCTTGAAATGGGAGAAGGTGTGAACGAGGGAAGGGCTCATTAGTCAGATTAGTGTCCAAACGTAGGTTGGGAGGATGGAGAAGTGTATGTCCATATATTATCCTGTTCCAACTGATATGAATTTGAGATATTTACCAGGAGACGTTCTGTCGCTGATCTTCAAGAGAAAAATAATCTTGTTATCGATACTTGATTCCACTATGTAGAAATTTTTCCCCCCAGTGTTACCCGGTTACTCTTGTTAGCGTATGGAGTAGATGTTTGCCGATGAAGCTCTAACACATTGTTTGAAGCACCTGCTTGTCTCAAACTTCTGGACTTAGGCACATTTTTACAAATTATAATATTTCTCATTAGTTCAACTTCCCCTTTTCTGCGGCAGTCAAGTTCCCTGCCCTAATAATATCATGTTACTTGAAGTAACCGCTACAAACAAAATTGTACTGTATCATATACATGTGAAAGTACCCATTTTAATCTTGTAGTTCTCATTTTTTCACTGCTGTATTTTGGTTTCCATTGAGAGAAGAGTTCATGCCACGTCTGCAACCTCTGACCATTAAAAACGTATGAATCGACTGGTTGAACAATGGATAATGCAGGGCTAGATCTCCACAATTTGTTGGTGTACCTTTGAACGGTAAAAGTTATGACAATGCAAGGTGGAATTTGTGTTCATGCCTTGAAACTTATACCAAAAGGTGCTAAAAATAGTTTCATTCTTTTTTCGGTTACTCAAAAACCTCAACATTAAATATTAATTAATAACAAGACAATCACACATTGAAGACTTTGCATCTATTTTACTTAGTCTTGTTCTTTTACACATTTTTTTCACAGAGGTCAAAATATGTGAGAAGTATGCAGGGATGCACAAGCAGAAAGTCAGATTTTTTGTGAGACATCATGAAAATCAGAAAAAATAAATACAGATTTCTGAACATTAGGCTAACCGCCAATTTTGGAAATTTTTGAAAACAGGAGTTCTTCTCATTCTGGTTATATGACTGTGGTGGGTAACGGATCTTAAGGTCTCTAATGAGTCGAAATCTTTAGCCTAGGAACAAGACTGTGTCTGCGATGGCTCATCATCTCAGCTCTGTAAGAGAGATTAGCGCCAACTTCAGACTTGGCGACCAATGTGGCTGTTCATTATATGTGCGCTGTACAGCCAGGGTACCAGATTTTAGAAATCGAAATACAGGACAGCACACATTGTATGCCAATTGTCCATGTAAACCTGACACGTTATCCACTAATTTGGTTTCTCATGAGACACTCATGTTGCAACTCTCTCTATAAACAGCTCTGCTCAGCTCTGCACGACAGCGCCCTCTGGAAAATTTTAACTGAGAATATGCTTATTGAACAGCACGAGTAAAGTCAATCTCGTTTGCCATTATAATAGGCCTATCAGTGGCACTTTTTTCAGGCACAGTTATAAAATATATAAACATGTCTGAAGCATGAGGGCTTCAGATTTGTTATAATGTGGAGGGATGAGCTTTCAGGGACAGAAGAAGGGCCTTTATTGAGGACCCTGCCGAGCATTATTTTAGTCAGCAATGAATCGTTTGCTTGGAAGTAGTTGCAGGTTCTCAACCAGACGTTGGAGACGCCTTACTACCTTGCACTGCCATGTTGGCCAGCCCCACTGACATAAAACCAGGCCATCAACGACTTTTGATCCAGTCCACTACGGCCAAGCTTGTGGCACCCGTGCGGAATTTTCTTAACCCACCGCTTACACTGTGTCATAAGCTAGCAAATGTGTGCGCACAGCCTTAAAGGTAAAAATAATAATTTCTCTGTTGTTCACATTTGATGTTTTACAAGAGATTGCTGGCTGAAAAGGCTTTGTCAAAATTGCAGACTGCGTTCAAATTAAAACATTTTAAAAGAGAACATATACTTAAAAAATTACTCTTTACGATTATGTCAAGGTTTTTCCAAATTCAAGTGGGACTTGAATTACTTCTTGTAGAGATATTATACAATATTTACAGACCAAACTGAAAAAAATCTTCTTGAGGAACAAAACAACTCCAGCTAACACATGAAATCAGGAAAAAATATGAATAAAAATATATACGCTACTCAACCCTTTCGAGACCCTAGGGTATTAAACACCAAATGTAACATTTTTTCTCCTTGGTTTTATGCTTTTGTCCTTTGCCAAGCAGAAAATAACCAGTATATCTAACCCTAACCCTCATATTGCCCGAACCGGGTGTGTTACGAACAACTCTTGGGGTTTACCCTGCGTCGTCGATTGCATAATGGCAATGCAAATGCGTCAATTTAGTTCAGGGAAAACCGAGTGCGCAAAGCTCCGACAAAAACCCGTTCCCAAGTGCTCTCCACGGATAGCTTCATATTAGCAAGACCTTGATGATTCGTGCTTTTTATTGATAGGGTAGACATTGAACTACATTTGGACTACATCAATTCATCTGATTGTGACAAACGTTCCTCTTTTCGTGGGCGTTAAGCTTGTGCGCACTGAGACGTGATGTCAATATTTGGACAGATCACATTCGCTTAACGAAAGGCCCTTTTCACAAAGGCTCTTAAAGACAAAGCCCTTGATTGCCACACCGGAACATTTTTGTAAGATATATTATCTTCATTCTGTTGTGGAGACAGTGTTCCATTATGCTTGTCCTATTTTCCATCTAACACAAACGAAGAAGTTTCGAGGCCTCTGAATTTGCCTAGAAACCCCTAGTTCTGCGTGGAAATGAACATGAAGGAGATGTGATAACCTAAGGGGAAAACAAAATTAATTAGATGCACAAGCAATTACACCAGCCTGTCAGTGGTATGGATATATGCAATCACCTGCGCTAGGGGCAAAGTAGTGGTCGATATCACAGGTTGAAAGTCCGCGAAATAAATGTTGCATTGAACATGTACTGTATGTGTGTGGGCTGTGGCACGGTATAAATTTACCAATGCAATTGGGTTTTGGGTAGACCCATCGAGTGCCACACTACTCTCTTGCGAGACAAAATTGTATGCAACGGAATATAGGTATAATGTGGTTAGACACCCGAGGTGTTTACAAGAAAATGGGTAGACAGATGCATTGTGGAGCAGGAATGTAAGAGTGGGGTCGGAGCACCTGTGCACTTGTCTGTAGTGGGCTATTGATTTAAATAAGTTTGATCCGCAAAATTGTTAAAGTAGTGTCCGCTTCAGTTTCTGTCAAGTATGGTTCTTTTATCCTTGTGATACATGTATAAGGGAAAGTTCTATCAAGGTTAGTTAACAAACCAACCATAGTTAACCATCGTTCGACTAAATCTCATCGAACACATGATAGTCGACGATGCTTAGACTAGTCTTGTCAACTATTTGCGACTAGACCTAGAGGTTGGTCGCATCATCGGTTGCCATAATATAAATAGCACGGTGCAGAAAGGACCAGTTATAAGACAATACCGGGAAAACAGTAGTCTATGGCATTAATGAACGACTATTTCCACTTTTGTTTTTGCTTTTTTACCCTTCCTGCGGCCATCTTTTTCCCCTTTCGGCCTAGCGAACTTACAGTGGTTGACCAGGGTCGTTCTCACTTCAACTTCACTGTACATGCACTGGGTACGTCACGAACCAACCACTAGTTATCCAGTGGCCCTTGATCGAACTTACCCTAATTTGCTCGTGTGGCTGTCATATAAGTGTTGCTAACGCCATGTGGAAAGCACAAAGGAACTCGAAAAGAAAAATATATAGCGTATAATTGATTTACAGACCTTTGGGGAATAATGGAATTTCATGTTCCAAGATACATGCTTTTTGACAACAGCAGCCTGAAGAAAGCCTATAATAGGGTTTTCTCCGGTTACTGAAATGGAAGCCAGATTAACTCACATGCAAAATGCTATGGAACGTGAGATTTCAGTAGAAACCAGGAGAGCAAAAGAAGAAACAAATTAGATGCTTGTGTTTGTGCTATATTTTCTTTTATTTTTGTTTCAATTATTTCTTTTACTTTCACATTCAAACCCTTTTCTCTGAGAAATATTCTTTTTCTTTTGAAGAAGTTTGCCACAAACTCACTGCGCAAACGCTACTTACGAATGCAGGTGTTTCCCATTTTTTGTTCTTGCATGCGCATACACGTCAAACTGAACAGCCACGACGAAGGTGTACTGGTAATATCTTGAACGGCACTGGTCGAAATTGTGTTCGATTGCGAGAGTGTGGTGTACTGTCATCACTGCGTTTCGCGCTTAAGATATCCAAGATAACTGGTGCCGCTTGAAAAATGACACTCTTTCCAGATCCCTTCGGCAAGTTTACGAAAAGGTCGTGGCCTTGAACAAACTGTCGAAGAGCATATATATTCAGTAAGATTCAGTGATACATATTCAGCATATGTATTCAGTATATGTATTCAGTGATATTCAGTAAGAGCGTCATGTAGTATGCTAATTATGACCAACTTCCCTAGAAACCTCGTTCCCATGGGTACGATCATGCCGCGCCATGTTGGTTCCCACCATGCCTTGCACGATCTTACCCCTGGAATTGTATAATTTAAATATCCTACTATTTGGGATATTTAAAAAAGAACTTTAGTCAGTGTGTTTACGAGCGAAGCAGATTTACGTGTGCGTGACGTGCAAGAGAATACGTGGGCGCGAGCGCACAACTTTTGAAATGCGCGCGACTGACGTTACGTTTATGTATATTCATCCGGAATAGTCAGTCAGCGTTATTTTCGTATTCCACACGACCAGGGACAAGTGAAGGAACGCGCACGCAGCCCATGAAGTCGAGGTTGGCCTTGCACAGATTTAAGTGAAGAAAATAGGTCACATGGTGTCACGGATAACGACGCGTAGAGCATTGTGGGTAAGTTTCTTCCTCGCGCGGGAGCTCGCTCAATGTGGCGGTTACTAATTCGATATGTTTATTTTTCCTCCTCATTGCTGAAACTATTCTCACAACACTGTATTGGTTCATCCAAAAATGATAAAGATAACCAATGATTTGAAATATATCCCCAAAAGACACGTGATCAGTGATACTTAGAGACAGGATAAATTACCGTGATTGTATCAAGGCCATGTTTTTATCATATAAGCCGACATTTTGTTAAGCAATGCCATTGGTGAACCGAAAACTTTGGGCAAATAACGCTTCTCTTATCCACCTCGACTAGAAATACCCCCTCATCGGTTGAACAGAGCCAGGTGGTCCGCAGTACTCAATCGATCGCCATCTTGTTTGATGCATGTATGCATGACTGACGCGACGCGCTGGGATCCTAGCACGCATGCTCGCCTTGCCTTCATGCTGAAGTACGTGTCCTAAGTTTGAGCTCTTCAAAAATTATAATAAATAAAAATTCTTTTATTTTTAGTGTCCGTACGTGCATTCTCAGGCTCTAGGCTAGCCCCAGACTGGGGGCCAGTCTACTGTATACCTTCGTATCCTAAGCCCCACAGCGGTCAATTCAAAAGGTGGGGACTCTGCGAAAATGCCTTCTATGAAACCCCTTTTGCGTGTATGGATCACTCACCCCATCAATATTCTTATATATTACTTCAGGCGATTTCCAACATGCGGCCATTCGTTTACTACAGCGATTAACTCCCGATCGCTGCTTGATGCCAAACACAGTCGGGATCTGTTTTGTTTGGTAACCAGACAGCGTTAGAGACGGTAATCCGAACTGCTGTTTTATCAACGACTGTGTATCACTCGTAATGAAGCCGTGTGTATGCATGAATGCAATGAATGTTTCGAAAACAACAGCCGTCGGGTATTTTCAAGGGTGCGCGTCATCATCGTATGAAATGGGGATTGGACGAGAGAATGATGTGCGCTCCGGACATGCCAAGCTGTCTGGCAACTAGTTCACACTCGATCCCAAGTATCGTATGCATTTCGGTTCATCATTCGTCAACGTTCATTATTTTGCAATGTTATGCTTTATGGATCTACGTAATAACGCTGTCTAGTTCCCAGACCGAGCAGATCCCGACTGTGTTTGGCATCGGTCAGCGATCGGGAGTTATCGCTGTAGTAAACGAATGGCCCAAATCGAAACAAAAATTTCACGGATTTCTACATAGTGGAAATCGCCCAAAGTAATACATGTACATCAGAATATTGATACATGCAAAAGGGGTTTCATAAAAGTCATTTTCGCTGAGTCTTCACGTTTTGAATGGACCGCTGTGGGGCTATGATATGGAGGGGAGTCCAGTAGACTGGCCCCCAGTCTGGGGCTAGCTTTCGAGGGGTCAGTTTGGAGAAGGCGAATGGCTCATCATCATGTTCATGGCGAACGAAGCAAAATACGCCTTTGGAGTAGGCAATTGCAACTATATCAATCACCGTGTCAGGAAGGTTGGGTCAGGTTAGTAGCAGTCTAGGCTTTAGTGTAATTATTTAAGCGGGAAAAGTTCCATATAGGCCCAGCCTAACCCCAGAACTGTGGGGTCCGAAGTCCACCCTGCTTCCACGTTCGGAGCGGGGCGGACGTCGGACCCAAAGTTTTGGAGGTACAGTAGGCCTAGCCCTAAGTTCTGTGGTGTAGGCCTACGGCCACCAGCAATTCTTCCCTTTACTTAAGTAATCAGAAAGTAATAACATGTGACTTGATAAAAATGGTATTTTATATAGTTGCTAAAAGTTACACTTGGAACTCAGATTTTGGATATTGTGTCTTTCTCTTAAAAATAATGAAATTTTGGGGGTCAGCACTGATGTTAGAGTAGTGGGGGGCTGTTGAGCACAATGTGACCTTTTCTAAAGAAATAGGAAAAGGTCACATATGATAAATATGAATTATGAATATGAATGAGGATAGGGTTAAACGTGGAGCACAAGTTGACCTTTGGTAGGGGTATAACAATGTGTGAGGGGTAAAAGTACGGTACGGGTTGACATTTACTGTATAGGGTGAATATTGGATATATGAATATGAACATAGTGGGTTCAAAATTTTCGGCACAGTTTGACCCTAACTCTTAAAATTTTTCCCCAACACAAGAGACCCATAGCCCCGGCTGGAAGTCTGGACGTAAACAAAGGAATTAAAGTCCTTAATCCCTACACAACAGTCCGTGGGTCGACAGTGAGGCTCCAAAAGTAATTAGGAAGTAGGAATCGACAATTCCTACACAATAGACAGTTCGTGTCGCCGGTTAATGCGAGGGATAATACCTAGATAATGGCTGTATATAGTGGCTGAGCTGTGTCGGCAGACTATTATGTTAATGATTACATTGTGTACGTTGGAAGTGAGCGTTGGTCTGACTTAACCTTTGGACACTAAGGAGGAGAGGGCGCCCACATGCTAGCAGTCTTGGTTTTGACTTACTATGGCTGCCGAGATTTGATCGATACGGGAAGAAGACTGTTGTCCCTAGTTGAATTTTTTAATCCTATGAACTAGAGTTTTTTTATGTCCCTTTACCCTGTACATGTATACGTGTTCAGTCCCGCTCAGTTAGAGCGGAGCGTTACTGTCGTTCTTTATTGCGGAACCTAAATGTAAAATACAGCCTTATATAAAAATAAAATAGAATTCTGGGGGTGGCATGACGTCAGTTGGGAATTTTTAATACGTAGTGTGGAAGGGAGATTTGAATGTTTTTTACATGACACATTTTCTTTTACAAGCTTCCTTAGTTTAGTCAGCAACTTGTCTGGTACCCCGTATCACCGTATAGTTTAGCATTGCTCATCGAGCTTCCTGCAGTTAATTGTTCAGACTGGTGCGTGCTACTGAAGAGCGAGCATTACCACTCACAGCTCTCTTCAGCCTTCCCACATTTGCACTTTTCTGCTCTTGTCACCAGTTGCAGCTGGGGTGAGTTTTGCCGTAATTTGATATTTGTATTGTAAGTCAGTAGTTTTAGTGTCAAACAAAGTTAGTTTGTAATTTTGGCAAAGGTTCTTTTGAAGTTTCTGATGCAGGGAAGGTTGGAGCATGAAAGTTTGGCATAGTCTTCTGTAAATTTCTTCCATTTCGCACACTTCGTTTTGTCTTGGAAGCAGCATTAGAAGTTTTACTTCGTCATTCAGACTAAAATGTAATTCTAATGTGATTTTGTTTAATCTTGTATAAAGAAAGTCATGTTCAGAGCCCACCATTAGCTGATCCTCCATACTATCCATAGATTTATCTATGCTCTTACAAGTGTTCCTTAACTAGAATTCCTAGCACTGTGATACTAAATTAAGATGTAGAGTGGTCCTCTAAAATTTCAGAATTTCAAGTTAATTGCATTTCTAATGTGTAAAAGCTGTGAGGGAATTCAGCTTTAGACCATGTGGTGCAAAACAAAGGATTAGACTCACACAGTCTGCACTGTAGTTTATAGCCATTGGCTGAGTGTGAGGTGCATGTATGTTAGTTTACATGTAGTTAGTGAAGACAGAAGTTCCTCGGCCAGTCTACTTTACCAATAAACAGTTCTGGCTTGTGCTGGCTACTTATGAATATTCATGACAGTGTGTCAGGATAAGAGGATTTATTACCCTGTCTGGTCAGTGACCATGTGGCCTTAAACTGAGTGACTACCTTATAAAGTGTTTTACATTGTGTATGATTCAGGTACTAGTTGGTATTCATGTACATGTATTCAGTACAGAGGTAATGCTCTAGGTGCGTGATGGCCAGTTTATTTTGGAACACTCATTTTTTGAGGAGACCCTGTCTTTTGTTCTTTATAGATGATTTGATATGTACCTGTACTATATTTTATCCCACATCTTCCACATTGAATTACTGTGTACATATATTTAATTTTCGTCATTTCTTTTTGTTTTGATTGATAGGTTTGTGCCTGATTGGTCACTCGAGTAATCCACTTGTGGCACTGTGTTGGTTTGTCATCACATTTCTATTTTTTTCATTTTTTAACTTTGTCCTGACCTTCCAAATAAATCGCGACCCAGTCTTCCTGAACCAGGTGTCTTCAGATCTTGTTACTTTCCCAAAGTCTTATGTACTAAGTTAGCGGGACAAATTTCCAGGTTACAGTAGCAAAGGGGTAAATTTATTCGTTGTGCTGTGGAATATGATGCAGAAGTTCCGGCCACTATCCGACCTGAAAATCATTATTCGATAATCATACCGATAAGTATAACACAAAACAAATTCAGTGGACTTCACATATTGGTTTCTGGTAGGTTTGTACTGGTACCATTTTATTTCCCGTTGTTCATCATTGATTTTTTTACAAAAAGTATCTTAGTAGTTTTAATAATTACTACAAGGGTGATTACCAGGCTTTGTTGACGTTCATGCCTTTATCAAGTTTTCCATGAGATAATCCACAATGTCCTTGTGGGTTTCATTTTCCTTCAAATATAGGTAACTTGACAGGAACTCCTTATAGTTGTAGAAAACGTCTTGTTTGACTGCCCAGAGGGCCTTTCTGTTTGCTTTCTGCCTGCCTTGATCTTCATCCATGCCTTCGTTGACGTACTTGTCATATTTTTCATCCCTCATGACCCTATGTGTTTCTCTAGCTTCTGCCAGCCAATCTTGGTCGGCGGCATGTCTTCCAAATCTGAAATGTCTTCATTCGAGGTTTCGTCATCGACCTCCTCAACAGAATCCAAGTTTCCGTCAGCTTCATTCATGTCTGATTCCTCCTCAGCATGGATATTAATGAATGATATGGATATAGATTAAACTTCCGTCCGAAGCATTTGTCACACTGGTGACGAGCATAGGGTTTGGCTGTATAAATACCATTCATGTTGACTCTGCAAAGGATGACCTTTAAATGACACGAAACAAGTGAAAGCGTTCCATATATCCTAAATATACACGTATTTACTGCTTCTGATTTACATATTTCACTTTTTATTTTCTCATTGTTTTATTGTTCAAATTGCTCTTTTACTCGTTTTGTTACTCTTTTCATTGTTCAAATTGTTCTTTTTATTGTTCAAATTGATTTTTTGGTGGTGTAAATTGATCTTTTCATTGCTCAAACGGATCTTTTATTTTTATTGTTCAAAATAAACTTCATATTTTTCAATTGGTCTTTTTATTGTATAAATTAGTCTTTTTAATGTATAAATTGCTGTTTTTATTGTTCAAAGTGCTCTGTTTATTGCTCAAATTGTTCTTTTTATTGCTCTTTTCATTTTATAAATAATGCTCTTTTTATTGTTCAAATTTGCTCAATAAAAATCTATCAAGTTTAAAAATCTTATTGGTAATCTCATTGGACTGTATAGGTTTGGCGTTTACTTCCCCCGGCAATGAAAAGGCCAAACGTATACATGTACTGGGTAACGGGACGTAAAGAACTCTAGTTCAAAGGATTCAAAAATTCAACTAGTGACAACAGAGTCTTCTTCCCGTGTCGATCAAATCTCGGTAGCCATAGTAAGTCAAACCCAAGACCGCTAGCATGTGGGCGCCCTCTCTTCCTTAGTGTCCAAAGGTTAAGTCAGACCAACGCTCACATCCAATGTACACAGTGTAATCATTAACATAATAGTCTGCCGACACAGCTCAGCCACTACATACAGTCCATTATCTAGGGATTATCCCTCGCATTTACCGGCGGCATGAACTGTCTATTGTGTAGAGATTATCAATTCCTACTTCTTAATTACTTTTGGAGCCTCACTGTTACCGGCGGACTGTTGTGTAGGGATTAAGGACTTTAATCCCTTTGTTTACGTCCAGACTTCTAACCGGAAAATTTTGAACCCAATATTCATATTCATATATCCAATATTCACCCTATACAGTAAAGGTCAACCCGTACCGTAATTTTACCCCTCACCCATTGTTATACCCCTACCAAAGGTCAACTTGTGCTCCACGTTTAACCCTATTCTCATTCATACTCATAATTCATATTAATCATACGTGACCTTTTCCTATTAGGGACAGTTTCTGAGTTCTGATGGATGCTACTACTTATGATTGCACGATTTTTGCGTGATTGGTCGATCAACATTTAGTTATCAAGTTGTTGACATTTTCAATCCAACTAAAAAAAACTCAGTTGACATTAGGCATTTGATCATCATTTCTCACATGCTTTCTAAAGTTATCCCTGAATTTGGTTTTTATTCTATAAAATTCATGTACAGGCGTGACGGCTGCCCATGGAAATCAGGTCAATCTAACAGAACGTGTGCTTGCCATTTTGAGGACGGGAAGAAGTGTAACAAACTCACCCTGAACACAGGAGGTGACTACAGTAAGGAAATCAGCGAATATAAGACGCAGTTACCTGTACAGACTCCAGTAGTATCTGCTGATCACAACTACATCTCAGGCCAGCTGATTCCAAAGCAGAGAACTGAGAAAGTGCATGTGCACAGACAAATTCAAGTCAATTTTCCTGAACAGGATACATACACCTGCACTGGCCCAGGAGCTCATGCATGTACTGCTGTCCATGCTATGTTATGCTATGTGACCACGGACGNATAGTGGGGAGCCAACCCTCGCCTTTGTAGTCGGCCCGGTAAAATGGCCGCTGGTTGGCTTCTTTTTCATTCAAAGGCGTTGCAAGTCCAGGTTTTTTTTTTATATACGTCCGTGTATGTGACTGGCACCGAGGCTAGTACCTAGACATCTTTCCACGAAGAACCCTGCATTGGACACACAGAGACAAAAGACCAGTGCGTTGAACCAGATACCGTGCTGGAACACCTCAAGTGCACACATGGCTTTCATGGGCGGCATGGCACGGATGGACAAAATCCATGACCTGACAGGTGTGCAGGCGTGGCATACATAATGTAAGAGGGTCACATAATGTAGGGAATGATGGCATTGTGTGGTCTCGCACACGTCCACACAATGTTTTCCACTCTCTGAAAAACAGTTTCATAGGCATTTTGGGGTCAAAGTTATCCGTGTCAAAATCAAGAGGAACAGTCGGGGAAATCGTCTTCAAAAATCCAGCTCGAAGGGGTTATCCTTGTTGGAGAAAAAGGAGCATTTTCCCCAAGTTTCCTTAACCACAGGTGAACAAAGGAATGTTCACGCTGGTTCTAACAAAGTCAACGGGTAAGAGAGTCTAGAGAATTTTCTTCTGTTGTTTCTTATGCAATGAGTTTTATTATTATTACAATTATTTTCAGTGGAGTTGTTTTTCTGTCTAAAATTCACAGTTATATTGAATCAAAATGCACCCCTAATTTCTGTATTTTTCCGTTAAGAAAGTTGTAATGCAGAAAAGAAAGTAAGAGAAGCATTACAATCATAGTAAATGAATGCATTATCACGTACATCTATGTATTCTCTGCAGATTTAACAAAGACCTTGAAAAGTACTTGACATCGATGCCGTCTCTTAAGGAGAACCCACTGTCAACAATTCAGGGAGAAACTATTCAAAATAGAAATTCTGTACCTTAGAAATTGATGTCTGGATGAAAGTAGGATTGAATGGCACGTTTACAGTAACCGATTGTTTGGGAGACCAAAAACAGAATGCATACTTTAACTCCTGTGACATACATCGTAGTCGTAGGGGTGCGCCGGTTTCACACCTTGCCCCTCTTTTCCTACTCCAAACCAGCGCGGACTTCCCCCAACAGGCGCGACCTCTACGCGACCCAATTGGCGCGACGCTTCCAAACACACAAACGCGGGACTTTTCCTGGGGACTTTCCACCACCGGAAAAACAGCTCTCGTCAGGGTGCCCTAGGAAAAATTAGATTCAATTTAAAAACCTATATATAAATAGAGACATGAATAGAGAACCCAAACCACGGGGCCGCCCGGTATTATCAGACTTTAGGCAATTGAAAAAAATCGTTTTTAGCGGACTTTGTCAGGCAGTACAACATCCCATTACCGGCACCCTCCGGTCACACAAAGCCGGAGCTAGTAAAAGCGATTCAAGACATTCAACGGCAATTTAGAAATCTCATTCGCCGGTCATATCGTCAACTCTTACAGACAGTCCAAGACAATAACACAGAATTTACAGCAACGGGCGTAAAAGGAAGAATATTACGAGCGGAGTTAATCACTGCGATCAAAGCGTACATTAAGCCGCAAGCGATTGAAAAAGTGGATATTCGGAGAATAAGGCGATTCAGGGACGATTACAGAAATTGGGAACTGGTGCCTAATTTCTACGCAGACGACCTGATTCATTTTTTCGATTTTTAGAGAACGTGTATCGAAACAAAGCACTTGCCGAGTTTAAGGAAATTGGCTCTTCCAAATTACAAACAGCCATCAAAATTCAGTTCGAAATGGAAAAACTTGGAGCAGAATCTAAACTCGGTATTATTACATTTACGAGTAAAAATAACGCGGTCTTCTATAAAATAGGAATTAAAGAAGCGTTAAGCCAGCACATTGCACAGCATTTAGAAGACGTGGAAGCTCACGAGCAGCTAGGCTCAGGTTGGGTGTTTGATAAAGTACACACCTTTTTTATCAACGTGGTAAAGTATAATCCAGTCGTAGCAACCTATATTCCACTCCCAAAATATTTAGCGGCCAAAACTGCTATTGTCAACGTTAAAAATAAAAAAGCTCAAGAGTGCATTCCCTGAGCGTTGCAAGCAGTTTTAAAATTATATTAAGACAATGTCAAGCATCATTTGGAAAAAACCCAAAATGTATACACGAGGACAGACCGCCTACCTACACTAAAGAAGACGGCTTAAATTTCACAAACGTAAATTTCCGACACCTGCATCACAAATTCAACGAATCGAATCACAGAATAAATTAGCCATCAGTGTATTTGGCTATACCCAAAAAGAAGGCACTTACGTGCTCTACAAGACCAAAAGCGAAAAAGAGGCCATTAATTTACTTTATTTTACTCAAGGCGAAACGAGTCATTGTTGTTGGTTTAAAGCTTTTCACGATTGATGGGCGATATTGATAAACATGGCCACAAGAAATATTAGTGTTTCAAATGCCTGTCACACTTTCAAACTGAAGAAAGACTCGCCAGACATCAAGCAGACTGCCAAGGAATTGACACAACGGCGTGCAAGGTTGAAATGCCCGTCAAAGGGAAAAATATTCTCACGTTTGAAAATAATAAAAAACATGCAAGACGCCCCATTTATAATTTATGCGGATTTTGAGCCTGTTTTAGAACACTTACCGCCAACACGTACAAAAACACGGTCAAAACGCAAGTTCACAAAGCGTGCAACTATTCTTAAGCGGTTATCAGATTCGATGGCGCGTGCACTGGGCTCGAGACATACTCAAAGTTAAGAGTAGTCCCAAATCAAACTCCCGTCCTACGGATTTTACATAATTTGGAAAAATATGACGCGCATTTAATTTTGCAGCGTTTAACGGAAGTAAAATTAAAGTCATCACTAAAATACCAAGAATTACATTTCGTTTAGCTTTGATCAACTCAGATTTCTAGACTCGTTTCATTTCATTGCCAAGTCGCTCGGTAGGCTAGTTAAAAACTGTTCACCCGACGATTTCAACCTACTTCGGGAAAGATTTCCAAATAGCACCGACATGCTATTAGAAAGGGGAATTTACCCTTACGAATACATAGACTCGTTTAATAAATTTTGAACAAATGCAATTGCCTCCTCGACTGCTTTTTACAGTTCGTTTAGGCAGGCGTCTGTTACTGAGGAAGAATATTCTCGGGCCCAAGACGTGTGGCAAACTTTTAAATGTCGTAATCTCGGGGGCTACCACGATTTATACGTCGAAACGGACGCACTATTACTAGCGGGCGTATTTGAAAATTTCCTGAAAGTGTGTAAAGTAAATTACGGCCACGACCCGGCAAATTATTATACCTCGCCTGGATTATCTTGGGACGCGTTGCTAAAAC